CAGACTGCTCTGTCCTCCTGCTCTGGCCAGTGCTGGCCCTTCAGAGATACCAGGAGCCAGCCTGTGCAGAAGTGACCAAGTGGGGGACACAGCTAGCCGAGGCAAGATGGCGCACTGGCCACCAGCCCTGCCTCTCCACCGAGCAGGCCTCAGTCCAGAGTGCCCGCCCACCTCCCGCAGAGAGCCCAGCCCAGCTCGTCTTCCTCTGCATCAGACAAACACAGATCAGTTTTATACTAAATCTTAGTCCGTTGGCACAGGAGGAACTAGGTCCAGCCCTGGGGACAAAGGTAGCAGGGCACCACTCCTGGCCCGCCTGCCTGGGCCAGGTGCCCAGCAAGGAGGTGGCAGCCAGGCGACAGGAAAGCACCACATACCCCATGCCTCATGGTGGCTTGACCTCTGGCTGCCTGTTTCCTTCAGCCTGATCAGGCCAGGGCCCTGTCCAAGGTCTGAGAGAAAGACCTCAGGCCCTCCAGAAGGGACAGACACTGCCCGGTCACAGCAGACAGCCTGTGCCACACTGCGGAGACCCAGCAGGGCCTACACCTCTAGAGGTGAATGAGGAAGGGTGGACTGCCCCATCTCAGACCCACATGGCCACACCCAAAGGGCACATTTCCACAGTGGCCAGCCAGTGGCCCATCACAGGAGCCGCACTGCCCCAATGAGGAAGGGTGGACTGCCCCATCTCAGACCCACATGGCCACACCCAAAGGGCACATTTCCACAGTGGTCCGTCACAGGAGCCACACTGCCCTTGGCATGCCAGGTGTTTCCACGGCTGGTGGCTAGCCCATGGGTGACAGTCCCTGGTCACCAGGGCTGTGGTCTTCCCCCAGGAGATCTGGTTACACCCAGGGACGGGGACACATCCCTCAGCTGTCTGATTGTTCACCGCCAGGTCAGAGTGGCGGACACTGGAAGTCAGAGCCGGCCGGGCTCTCGCCGAGGTGCACACGGCCCTCCTGCATGGCCAGCCCTGTCCCCATGGCAGGGTCCCCACCCCGAGAGACACAACCCATGGGCAGCTCCGTCCCCAGAAAGAAGACAGAGCCCAAAACAATCAGTTCAGGTTTTCAGGAGGCCCCACAGCCTCGGGCCTGGCAGGGCCACCTCAAGTGTAAGGACATCCCAAACCTGGCAGGAACTGGGCAGTCTGTGCCTTTGTCATCAAGCCAGGAGACCACCAGTGCATGATCGTGGCAGAGGGCCCCGGATCCCCAGCGAGGTCCCTGGTTCTTGGCCTCCTCTCCCAGAGGGTCGGGCCCTACTCAGACCAGTAAACTCTCGTTCCTGCTTCAGGCGGCAACCCCATCACCCAGCATTGCTCCAGCCCCTGCCTAGAGGCACTGCTCACAGCTGTCCGTCTGCCTGTCCGTCTGCCTGGGCTGTGTGCTGTGCTCCCCCTGCCTGCCAATGAGACAGTGTGTGGCACCAAGAAGTGATTGTCCGTGTGCTCGGGACACGGGGAGGGCGGGGTGGTCCCTGCGCTCAGGCACAGGGCGAGTGGCTCCAGCCACCGACAGCACTCCCCCCTAGCCAGCCACCCGCACCTACGTGGCCACACCTTCACAGGCTCAGCGGGGTCAGCTCAGACGGGCATCATGCTGAGGCCCCGGGAGCTACAGGCCGCCCGTCCCCCGGGTGGCCATCAAAAGTCCCTTTTAGAAGTTGATCACGCCCGCAGAAGGGTGCCGCCAGCACCAGACCACTGGACGCTCCCGGAGCCAAGGGAAAGCCGTTGGGAAAGAGGCAAGACAGTGCCACACCACCGCCACCTCCCTCCAGGCCAGCACCCAGTCTCCAAGTCGTGTTCACAGAGAGAAGAGCACACTGGGCAGCGCCCAGACCCTGTGTGGGCCTCGAGCTCCCACCCTTGCCCCTGCCCCGTGATGCCCTGGCTGGCCTTGCCCAGGGTCAGGGGCTCCTGTGGTGTATTCCTGCAAAGGCTGGGCCCAGCCAGGACTGCGGGCTATAGCTACAATGCCTGGGCTGGGGTGCAGCTTTCTCACTGGGTCCCCGCAAGCCCCAGGTGGGAGGGTCTGAAAGGAACAAGGTGGCTGGATTCAAGGCAGCACAAGTGAGAAATGCCCCCAAGTCCAAAGTGGCTTCCTTAAAAGACAAAACAACTAATTTCTGCAGCTTCTTGGAATACACAGGATCAGAGAGCACCTCTGTCCACTAGCCCTGACCTAGCCAAGGCCCCTTCACCTTACCTCCGGGTGGCCCCCACGGTGGGCAGCATGTGGACCTTGGTGTCAGCGAGGTGGGCAGCCATGTGTCTGTGCTCAAGGTCGAGTGCCGAGGTCCCACCCAGGCCCCTGTAGCTCCTGGCTCCCACGGCACAGGCAGGTGTGGCAGCTGAGCAGCAGTCCTGAATCCTGAATGAGGACCTCACTTGCCGGTGTGGCAGACAGGAGGCCACGCCCTCTCCCTCACCTCCACCTTCAAAGGAAGAACCCAGCCTCTCCTGTGCTCAGCCTGGGGCGCCTGGGCACCGGCTCAGGCAGAAGGGGTCCTGGGGTGCAGGGATAGCCCGGGGAATGGTTCATCCCATGCCCAGGGGAGTCTGCACAGGGGCTTTCCCACCCAGGAACACTGGGGGTGCCTGCTGGGCCAGTGAGGTCGCCTGGACCCAAAGCCAAGGAAAGACACAATGGGGACTGGGGACCTGCTGCGGCGTCCAGGGTGAAAAGGAGAGTGGGACGAAGTCCAGAGGGTTCTCCTTAAAGGCTTGCTTCGCACCAGGTGAAAATCCAAGTGACTCCTTCCTAAATCTAGGTCTGAAATAGAACTTTCAAAGGACACCAAGGTAGGAGATGCATACAGATAGATTTAAAAAACAACAAAACAAAAACTTCAAAAAGTCATTGACTTTAATGACATTAAATTTTAAAAGATTTTATGCCGTGGAAGTGGATTTTCTCCTTTAGGCAGTAAATCTAATCCTGAGACAAATAATACAAGGAAATGCTTGCTGCATTTTGACCAAAATTAAATCCATATAGACAAAATTTCTCTTTTTTTAAAGAATTATTTTATTTAACTTTATTATATATTTATTTTTACTTGACCAGAGAGAGAAAGAGAGGAAAG